CATTCTCTCCAAACATCTCCTTGAATACCTTCCATATTTGATGTAGTACTAATATCTTAAAAATAAATATTAGTTTGTTCCATCTTGATTAAAAATATTTGTTTCCAAATTCATAGTAGAATTCTTTAAATTAAAATATATTTTTTGATCAGCTCCAAACTATAAGCCATAATGACTTCATTTGAAATATTTTAACTTTGTTCCATCACAATACATTTACAATTAAATATTAGTTTAAAATATTATTCAAAGTATTTATTCTATATTCTTACAAAAAAAATTGATATATATATATATATGCATCTATATCCTACAGACTTAACATGTCATCATAAATTTATTCCTTTAATCTTGTATAATTTTAAAATTGATGTTTTATCACTACATGTACTTATTCTATTTTATAATGATAATTCAATTAATTGTACAAAGCTTTTCATTCTTAAATCTTCATTATAGCTTCATTTTTAATGCCCAATATTATTTAAATTGTTTTAAATACCCTTTTCTACACAAAGAAAGAAATTAACAAAGTGTTAACATGGATTGTAATTTATATTAATATATAAATTATAGCAAGTAAGCTTGAAAGTTTACCCAACTTTTGAGTGAGTTTTATGCAACGGATACTTCACGATATTCATTTTTCAGATTTATGTGCTTGTAGCCTTGCAGTGCGTAGGACATACTATTATATTAAAAGCCATATATTTTGGTATTAACTGGATTTTGTTTTACATGAATATCAGCTTGTTTTAAAATCAAAATAAAATAAAATGAAATAATAAAAAAAACGCATCATAACTTCATATAATTTCTTGCTCTCATAAATTTTGCAAACTTCTGTTTTTTAATTTTTGTTTACATTCTTAGAGTGATTTCCCATGGTAGGTCGGTTCGGGTTTGATACAACTCAGAAGAAGCTCGCATCTCCTCGAGAAATTTTACGGTTATCAGTTAGCACAGTTCTAGTGTGTGTTCTGAGACATAGTGTCTACTTGAAGGGATAGACTCTTCGAATATTTGGCTGTTATTTTAATGCATTGGGTTCTGGTTCTTTCGTTATCTTGTACTCACATTCTGCATCGTGAACACGATGCCAGGGTCGTGGCCGACACATCTGATTCCGAACCAATGCGATACCCCTTACACCTCCGACTCCGGTAGTTTTACTGCAACTCCACACTGTGGCCACTTGTTGGTTTTGCAGGGATGGTTGAAGCCTTTCGTCAAGTGGTATCAAGGACCAAGAAGGGATCTAGAGGTCCAGCAAGCATATTGGCGACATGAAAAAATCAAATAAATAAAAATAAAAAGTCCTAACTCAGACAGCTGGGAAGTATGTGCGTGAGTTTTGTGAGTGTGAGTTAATGTTTTGGCCAACATCGTCAATTTGCACAAAAAAATGTGTTGGGTGTTAAGGTAACGTTGCAGATTCTCTGCGGCTATTAGCTGTTGTACACTACAGACCTTTCCAGTTTTGGTAATGTATATTTCCAAGCTTGCCAATAAGTGTGTAAGCTTGTGTTTGTATGGAGAATTTCAGTTTGAGCTTAGCAGGATTGATGCAAAGTCCTATTTTGTTGTCTACTTTTCTTGGATTCATGTCGTGCTAGAAGCCCATATTTTAATAAGGATTTTGTGGTTCTGATTGTACAAAAGAAGTTTAGTCATATCTAAGCTTAAAATATAAGAAACTGGTTCAAGGCCATCAGCAGATTGGGCTCAGTAGCGTAGTATTTTCTCTTTGTGGTGCACTTTTCATTTTTTATTTTTTATTATAAGATCAATTTTACTGAATGAATCATTTGAATCCAAAAAATTGTATGTCATTAGCGTTTGGATGAATCCTTTTGATATAAATTGATTACAAAGTATAAACATAAAACGATAGTCTTGATGTGTCACATGCGCAACCCAGAATGATTATATTTTGTCATCAGAAACATCGAGTTAAATTCAATGTAGATGTGCCTGCATTTTACAGTATGTTTTTGTTTTGTTTGGCTATGTCAAATATTATTTGGGAATATTAATTTGAAATATCAAGTTATCAACCCTTTCAAGAATGCCAAAACACATTCTAAAGTATTTAAGACACTTTGCATCACAAAATCATCATGCAATAGATTAACAAAACATACTGCTTAATGGACATACATGAGATGCATATATGATATGGTTGAATAATTCTTTGTTTTTATGTCAATTCTCATGTAATTTTTTTCATCATCATCATCATATATATATATATATATATATATATATTAATATAATATGAAGTTATAAATAAATGACATTTTTATGTATAACATTTACTATTTATTTTAATATTTAGACTTCATTCAAAAACTATAAACTATAAGCATATTTTGGCACATTCTGGAAGAATATAAAAAAAAACAAAAAACAAAAAAAAAAAAAAAAAAATAGAAAAACAGCAGGTATTGTCCAAAGAGAAGTTTAACAATTCAAACGCATATAAACTCACTGATTAGTT